AGAGAGAGAGAGAGAGAGAGAGCTAATAAGAGATAGATGCTATTAGATTAAATAAATATTAATTTACAATAAAATGTTATTTTTGTTCCCAGAATTTGATGATAAAAGCTCTGTCTCGTCGTCTATAGACAAATGTGATGAACAAAACTCTGGTCTCAATAGTCATACAAATATCGTTATTACTATCGATAATAATAATACAAATAATATTACCGACAATAATAATAGTAATGGTAATAACAATATCAACGCTATTACCGATACGAATAGGAATAATAGCTGCAATTCATTAAACAAAGTCAATGATGATGGTAATAGTGATGGTGATCGTGGTCGTAGTGGTGGTAATGACCATCATATGTCTGTCCACAATACCGGTGCTCACATCGCACGCCAGATATCCAATGACAGCACCGAGAATACAATGTTATAGCGATTAATATAATTATTATAGTTATTATTGTTAATTATTATTATTTTTATAGTTATAAAGTGAAAAACAATTTGTTTGTGAAATATGTATGTTTATAATTATTTTTCAATTACACGAAATGAAATTACAATAAATAAAAATTCATAAATTATTTAATCAATTTGTATAATGTTTTGAATTGTTTCTAAATTTTATAATTAATAATTAAATAATTAGTAAATATCGTAAAAATGTAAACACATGTATTTAAATATTTAAATTGTATAATTTATATAAATATGAAAATTAATAAATTTAGGTAAAAATAAAAGTATAGTTAATAATATAAAACAAATACAGGATTGCACTATGTAAATGCAATTTAATCATAGTTAACCAAGTACATGGAGTAACTTTAGGTACTTTCAGTTTAGTTTAACCCTAAATATTACTCTGATATTATATAACTAATTTATCAATCAAATACCCTTGTTAATAAAAAATAACACTTTAAGTGATTTTCATAGACATAAGTTATTATATTTTTAGAAATTACTTTAAAATTGTTATACTTATTATGTTTACAAGTTGGTTATAAATATATTTATTATAAATTATAGTGCAGTTCAAGTCCATTGAAAGTGCCCTAAACATCCAATAGTTATCAATTATAAACTTATTATATTCTGAGAACAATAAACTAAATTCAGTACAGGTAGAATAAATAAAACGTGAATTATTATATTAATTAATACAATTATTATAATTTAGTTTAAATTAATAAATTCAAGTTATGTTTCTTAATATAACATTCAAATATTTCCAAATAAAATAAATATAACTTAAAACTTTATTATGTAACATAATTTATTTTAGTGATTGGTGTTAACCTTGAGTACGAAATATGATAAATTAAATCATTGTATGGGTAACAGTGATTGGATGTTTAGCAAGTTAACAATTTACTAATACACAAACTGTAACCATACAACTGTATAAATACAACACCATTTCAACCATTATCAATCATAACAGTTAAATCATTGTTAACGAGTCTTATTGTAAACTAGTTTCAAAAATAATACTGTTTACCAAAAATGTCAAACACAACGAAACACACACTCGGCTACTATAAGCTCCGGGGTTTGGCACAACCCATAAGAAACCTGTTGGCCTATACGGGCACCGCATTTACCGACAAACATTATGAGACCGGTCCGGACGCTGAAACATTTCACGGTCCATGGTTCAAAGAGAAATTCACCCTGGGTCTGGACTTTCCCAACGTACCATACTACATTGATGGCGACTTAAAAATAAGCCAAAGCCACGCCATTATGCGATACCTGGCCCGTCGACACGGGTTGGTGGCCACCGACGAGACCGGACTCGTGCGCCAGGATATGACTGAACAACAGTTGGCGGACATAAGAATGGGTTTTTATATGGGATTTGCGTATAATTTTGTCGGTGATTTGGCCGACAATAAGGCAAAGTTTCTCAACGAGACTCTACCGCCACAGTTGGCCCAATTGTCCCAATTTTTGGGGGACAACCAGTGGTTTACCGGACGTAACATCAATTATGTAGACTTCTTGGCGTATGAAATGCTGGATTGGCTGCGGCTGTTGAACGCCGATAGTGTCCGCAAATACGATAATTTGTGGCAATATTTGTATAGATTTGAGAGTTTGCCGCAAATTAGCGCTCACATGAAATCATCGGGTTTTAGACGTTTGCCAATAACGGCCACATTTGCAAAGTGGGGAGGGGAGGCGTTCAATGTTTAAGTGACCATGCTGCATTTTATGTTATACATTTTGATGAGTTTTGCACATTTATTTAAAATTTAAAGTTACTAATGTATTTTCCATTATCTAAAATTAAATCTAAAAATTGTAATGTTGTAACAACATAAATAATAAAATGATTAAAATTAAATGCTTAATTACATTACATCTGTATATTATTTGTTATCTAAGCCTTAGATTCTAAGGTAACTTTAAGTGCATTTAATTGAGATATAATCTAATAATGTGTGGGAATACTGTATTGTCGTATTTTAATACTTCCATCATTATTTATTTTTATAAAAAATAGTTAATTTTTATTTAAATATATGAGTTATGGAATTACAATACTTGTAAATGGCAACACATTTGGTGCTAAAAATGTATTGTGTTGTCAATTGGGTTTAACCTTGATTATAAAATATGGTATATTAAATCTTAATTAAATGTGTATGGGTAAAATGTAAATGTAGATATGTAATATTATATAACAATTGGGTATTGTGTTTATCAAGGTTAACATGCAACCAACACACTAAATAAACTGTCATCAATTAAATAGACTTAACAAAATCATTTTACATAATATGTTTAACTAGATTGATATACATGTTACAGTTTAAAAAAGATTTACATACATTGACTGGTTATCGTTTGACTGCTATCTTATTTCTCCTGTTTTTAGGAATACAAAATATATTTCATCCCAAAAATATATTCCCGGAATATATTTGACCGGAAGTGTGATAAGTAACAAAATGTAACACCAAATCATATTAATATAACATGAGTTAAGAATAGCAGGTGCAGTAGGAATGCACTATAAGGGTAGAAATTACATTTAACTAAACATTTTACACAATTCTGTACACTAAACATTTTACTAAACATTTTAATTAACGTTTTAATCATTTATTACAAAACTACTGCAAAATTTGTAATTAAATAAAATGAGAAACTATTTTAAAATTAAATCATATTTATATTATTTTTAAAAATAACTATCTTAATAGAATTTACCGTAAGTGCATTAAGTTCGAATTAACCTCAGGTTGCTAAGTAATTATCTAATAACGGGTGTTTTGCCAAGGTCACTTTTTAATTTTTGTACTACAGCTTCTCTGCTGACAAGTATAAATACAGCAATATTTTAAAATTATTATCTAATTGTTACTCACAGTGTTATTTACTAGTTTGTACTACTATCAGATATTATATACTAGTTTAAAAAATTATACCAAAAATGTCAAACACAACGAAACCTACAGTTGGATACTATAAGCTGCGCGGAAGGGCTCAACCCATACGAACACTGTTGGCCTATACGGGCACCGCGTTTACCGACAAACTATATGACAGCGGTCCGGACGCGGCCACGTTTTGCGATCCTTGGTTTAAAGAAAAATTCACCCTGGGCCTCGACTTTCCCAACGTACCATACTACATTGATGGCGATCTTAAACTAACCCACAGTAACGCCATTATGCGATACCTGGCCCGTCGGCACGGGTTGGTGGCCACCGACGAGACCGGACTCGTGCGCCAGGATATGGTGGAGAACCAGTTGGCAGACATAAGAATGGGTTTTTATATGGGATTGACGTATAATTTTGTCGGTGATTTTGCCGACAATAAGGCAAAGTTTCTCAACGAGACTCTACCGCCACAGTTGGCCCAATTGTCCCGCTTTTTGGGGGACAACCAGTGGTTTACCGGACATGACATCAATTATGTAGACTTCTTGGCGTATGAAATGCTGGATTGGCTGCGGCTGTTGAACGCCGAGAGTGTCCGCAAATACGATAATTTGTGGCAATATTTGCATAGATTTGAAAGTTTGCCGCAAATTAGCGCTTATATAAAATCATCGGGGTTTAGACGTTCACCGATAACCGCCTCAATGGCCACGTGGGGCGGCGACGAGTTTGATGTGTAATTGACCATGGCCATGAGCAATGAAGTTTTGATCAAGTTTATCTATTGAATCTCTTTTACAATAATTTTGTTTAAGGTAATTTACAAATTAGTTTTTTTTGTTAAAAAAATTATATAACTCGTTGTTAAACACATTTAAAAATTGTTTTTTTGTTTAATCTTAATTAATAATAAATGGTTTTATATTAAATTAAATGACATTTGGTTATTTATTAAAATAAATATTTAAAGTCGCTAACAAGTTGTAAGTGCATTGAGTTTAATCTAACCTAAGATTGTATGGTAATATCAATAATAATTTATTATGCTCTGAAAAAATAAATAAATCATTATGAAATAATTTTTTATTAGACTAATTACTTACTATAGTTGTTAATTACTTGTAATTGGTCTCTGTTTTTACATAACATAAAATGAGTTTTTTATATTGTATAAAATTTTAAAAATTTCAACTTTTATTAAAATGCAAAAATATATTACACTTAAAGTTTTAATTTCCTATTCAAGATGATTTGCTTAAACCTAATATATGACAATACAGTTATTTAATTTATAGTAACAAGGCATAATAATATTAGAATACCATACAATTTATGGTGAGCTTAATGCACTTAAATAGTAGTTTATAACTAATTGGATAAAAATAAATAAGATTGCACTTAAATTTTAGGCGTATGGTTAACGTTGTAATTCTATGGGTAACATGTGTAAGTATATTTTTTATATGCTAAATGGGTGTTTTGTCAAGGTCACTATGTTATTTTTGTACTACAGCGTCTCTGTTCATTAGTATAAATACATGCACATTTTACTATTATTATTTAATTGTTAAATACATTATAAACATATTTTATTATATACTAAAGTAATTTCATAAAGTGTATAAAAAATGTCAAACACGTCGAAACCTACAGTTGGCTACTATAAGCTTCGCGGTAGGGCTCAACCCATACGAACACTGTTGGCCTATACGGGCACCGCATTTACCGACAAACAATATGACAACGGTCCGGACGCGGCCACGTTTTGTGGTCCTTGGTTCAAAGAAAAATTTACCCTGGGTCTGGATTTTCCCAACGTACCATACTACATTGATGGCGATCTTAAACTAACCCACAGTAACGCCATTATGCGATACCTGGCCCGTCAGCACGGGTTGGTGGCCACCGACGAGACCGGACTCGTGCGCCAGGATATGGTGGAGAATCAGTTGTGGGACATCAAGAATGGCTTTTACATGGGATTTGCGTATAATTTTACCGGTGATGTCGCTGACAACAAAGCCAAACTTATCAACGAGACTTTGCCGCCACAGTTGGCCGAATTGTCCCGCTTTTTGGGGGACAACCAGTGGTTTACCGGACGTAACATTAATTATGTAGACTTCTTGGCATATGAAACGCTGGATGTGTTACGGCTGTTGAGTCCCGAAACTGTCCGCAAAAACGATAATTTGTGGCAATTTTTGCATAGATTTGAAAGTTTGCCGCAAATTAGCGATTATATGAAATCATCGGGATTTAGAAGTTGGCCGATAACCGCCTGCTTTGCCAATTGGGGCGGACAGGGGTTTAAAATATAATTTATATAAGTCTTTATAACACATTTTTATTAGGGTTTGCTATTTTTAAAACTTAATTCTAATAATCTTGTTATAATTAAATTACATATATATTTTTATTATATAAATTTATTATTAAATTAATAAACACAAATTAATTAAACAATATGATTATTATTATATTATTTAATTTGATATTTATTTAGATATTAGACTAATTATCTTATGGTACTTTTAGTGCTTTAAGTTAACCACGAACCTAAATTGTCTGGTAGTAAAAACGTGTCATGTCACTATCGATCAAATAACCTTGATCAGCGTATATTTCCACTAGCTATAAAAAATCGCACTATAACACATTTACATTGCGGAAATCATGATTGTAGATTATCATAATTGCAAAAGTAACTAAACATTCTGTAGCATTTAGTGCAATAAGTTAATTAAAGTATAAATACGGGTAGATTTATCAACATTTTAGCAAACTTATTCTAGCATTGAATGAACAAGTTTGATTATTATATAAAATAGTTAAAAAAGTTTATTATAATGTCAACCAAAACAACACCAACGCTGGGATACTACGGGTTCCGCGGTATGGCTCAACCCATACGACTACTGTTGGCCTATACGGGCACCGCATATACGGACAAACAGTACGAGTACGGCAAAGACGCGGTCACTTTTCGCGATTATTGGTTGAAAGAGAAATTCACCCTGGGCCTCGACTTTCCAAACTTACCATATTACATGGATGGCGATCTGAAAATAAGTCAGAGTAACGCAATTTTACGACATGTGGGTCGCAAACATGGGTTAGTGGCCACCGATGAGACGGGACTCGTGCGCCAGGATATGGCTGAGCAACAGTTGGTGGACATAAGGTTTGGCTTTTATATGGGAGTGGCGTTTAATTTTGCGGGTGATTTGGCAACCAATAAAGCCAAGTATACGACAGACACTTTGCCGCAACAGTTGGCTGACTTGTCCCGGTTTTTAGGGAATAACCAATGGTTTACCGGACGTAACATTAATTTTGTAGACTTCTTGGCGTATGAAGTGCTGGATTGGTTGCGGCTGTTGAGCCCCGAAACTGTCCGTAAAAATGATAATTTGTGGCAATTTTTGTCCAGATTTGAAAGTTTACCACAAATTAGCGCTTATATGAAATCATCGAAGTTTATAAGTTGGCCACTGTTTGGTCCGGTGGCTAAGTTTGGGTACAACAAGTAATAAATCATTTTGGTTTATAAACAATATTATTGTCAATTAAGGCTAATATTGACAGATTATCTGCTGTTATGTGAATCAATTGATAAGTATTTTATGTAATAAAACAAATAATTAAATTGTTTTTGTTAGTCCTTTCTTAGTTATAACTTTTATAAATTATTTGTATAATTATTGCATAATAAAAAATAGTAATTCACTTAAACAATTTTAACGCATAAGTATTAGATATACTTTAATCTAATAAATAAGTTGATAAGATTGTCAGTATTTACATTATGAAACATGAAAATAGAGCCATATTGTCACCAATTAAACGCAATTTTTAGTTAATTATAAGTGAGTTTTCAATAAACTAGTTAAACAAGTTGACCACGATTTAATATGTCCGAAACAACTGTACCGACACTGGGTTATTGGCGGTTCCGCGGTATTGCTCAGCCCATACGACTACTGTTGGCCTATACGGGCAGCGCATATACGGACAAACGGTACGGTAAGGGCACAGACGAAGTTACAACACGCGATCATTGGCTCAGCGAGAAATTTACTCTTGGTCTGGACTTCCCCAATGTACCATACTACATTGATGGTAATTTAAAATTGACCCAGAGTACTGCAATATTGCGATATCTGGGTAGGAAACACGGGTTGGTGGCCACCGATGAGACCGGACTCGTGCGCCAGGATATGGTGGAGCAACAGCTTATGGACATCAGACGTGGTTTCAATACGGGAGTAGTGTTTAATATGACGGGTGATTTGGCCGCCAATACAGCCAACTATATTGCAAACACTTTACCGCCACAGTTGGCCGACTTGTCCAGCTTTTTGGGGGATAACCAGTGGTTTACCGGACGTAACATCAATTATGTAGACTTCTTGGCGTATGAAATACTGAATTGGTTTCGACAGTTGACTCCCGAGACGGTCCGTATATACGATAATTTGTGGCAATTTTTGGTGACATTTGAAAGTTTGCCGCAAATTAGCGCTTATTTAAAGTGAAGTGATTTTATAAGTTGGCCACTTTATGGGCCGAGAGCTATGTGGGGGTACAATAAATAATATATAGTATGCTAAGAAATAACACACACACTGATAATGTGTTGCAATAAATATAAGTTACTATAAATTACAATAAATTTAAGTTGTATTACTATTTATGTTATAAAGATTTCATGACAATTACATTATTTTAAATTAATTATTTGTAACAATGTATGCTAATAATAAATCCAACATGATCACTTTTCTATGCAATTACTGTCGACTTTCTCTTTATTTTCATTGACTTTGTCTTTATAATTGATACCATTTTTATGACAATAGTATTGTTTTGCCATTTGTTTCAATTTAATAGACATTTCATTTCCCGTCTGTTTGACTAATTTGCTGAACAGACCATCGCTTGTGTCCAACAAATGGTGGGGAATGTCG